AAATAGGCTGACAAACAACGGCAAATGGCAATTCCAGAGGAGTTGCCAACTGGGCACCAAGACGGTAACGCTCAGAGACTTGCCGTTGCGCCTGGTACAGTAGAGGAGGTTGTCGATTGCCCCTGCGTAGTGGCACACGCAACACGACGACGAACAAGGGCAACAGATTTTTAAAAAAGCCCATGCGCGGAATCTTTAGACGTCGCCCCAGACCAGCAATCTACGTCGACGCCCAGCACTGGAACATAGCACACGGACAGGACATCTAAAGATCCTCCTGCTCTGCCTGCAACACTCCCGCCAGATGCACAGGGACGGCTTCCTAGATACGTGCCGAGGGCACCTGCCTACCCCCTGACGCCACGCGTGTCTGCACGTGTAATACCACTTGCAAACAACTGACAGAGCAACCGAGAACAGCACTATGAAACCAGGCTGGTGCCCCTGTCCCATGAGGACGGTCACACCTTGGGCCTAGCAGCCGAGCATATAATGCAGGCGAACAACGCCCTCAGCCACCGCCCCCGGACCGTCTTACAATTACACACGAAGGAACTGCAGGGTCACTCACCGGTGGTGTGGCTTTCGGAGCACTCGCACCGTCTTCTCCCTGTTAAGAGCCAGTTGCAAGAGAGCAAACGCACCCACATAACGCATACGGCCCTCCACATCTGGCTGCTGCACATCATGAGGCTCAGATCTGCTACATAATAGTCTGACAAACAACGGCAAATGGCAATTCCAGAGGAGTTGCCAACTGGGCACCAAGACGGTAACGCTCAGAGACTTGCCGTTGCGCCTGGTACAGTAGAGGAGGTTGTCGATTGCCCCTGCGTAGTGGCACACGCAACACGACGACGAACAAGGGCAACAGATTTTTAAAAAAAACCATACGCAGCATCTTTCGACGCTTCCCCAGACCAGCACTCTACGTCGACGCCCAGCACTGGAACATAGCACACGGACAAGGCATGTAAACTTGCAACATTCCAAGCAGGTGCACAGGGGCGGCCTATTAAGAGGCTTGCTAAGGGCACCCCGACCGTCGGTGAAACATCGTGTCTTTAGTTTGATGGCGCTTGGGAACAACTGGCACAGCAACGACGAGAAACACTGTTAAACCAGGCTGGTCTGTCACATGAGAAGGGCGGCAGCTTGGGCCATGCAGCTGCGCATTGGGCGTCGACACAATGCGCCCTAAGGCACTTTCGCTCGACCGCCTAGCAGCTGCACATGAACGAACGGCCCAGAGACTAACCGGTGTTTCGCCACCATGTGCGGCCGCGCCGGTGCCCACCTGAAAAGACGCACTCGGAAAGGTGGCAGCGCCCCAAAGGAAAGCTAAAAAGGAAAGCTAGAAAGGAGGCAGGCAATGGAATATAGCCTAGGGGCATCATCTTGTCAGGGCCTATTATCGAGCCCCAAAGGGGAGCAAAAGACAGGAGAGATACTTACCAGTTCTTCGTAGGGTCCAGATACTCCCTGTCCAATGCCATCCACAAGAACAATGGGAAAATACGCAAAGCACCCTAAATGATGATGTTTAGCATGCATTACAAATATCTGAGTGCTATGACAAGTGGCGGGAATCGGCTACAACTGCCACGTCTGGGGAGCCCAGTGAAGTGGATTACCACGTCAAGATACTGAAGATCGCAAGCACACACATAGCAGTGCGCACGCCAGAACAAATATATATTTTAAAACTCTCACGAGTGTCGATAGAGATTCCTGCAAACATAAGTTTCTTGATCAATACAAGCATGTTCACTGATGTTAGCTTGGTTCCCAGAGTGTGGGCAGCAGCAATGACTGTAAAAGCTGTTACATTGCGGCGCATGCTACTTGAGTCATGACTTAATCTACGCAAAAGTATTTGCATCACGATTCTGTCTCTAGTCGGCACAGCCACATATGCAAACCTTGGCAACAACCTCGTCGACGCCGTCCATCAAGCTGTTTCCAAAACGAGGCCTCAGCTCCTCCCACGGCCTCTTTTTGTGTGTTCCCTGAAACCCCAGGATAGGCACCGCCGCATGGAACTTTCACATCAACAGCATTTGGACGAATCTCCGTAACACAAGGACGATGTTAAAGAACTTCGTCTAAGCTAAATTCCGGTCACCGACCACCCACAAACACTGAGGCGGCTGATCTATCTTTGTACACGTCTGTAATTCAAGCTACAACCTAGATGGCCAAGCGCCCCTGCATTTACTCATCCTCAAGCTGTAGACGTCACGCAGTGTGCCTCTTTGGGTTGAACCAGAGGTTGAGAAGTCTCTCACTCAGGGACTGAAAGGTCTCTAACCTCGGTCCGCTAAAGCAGCCACTCTGCATAACACCGGCTGCGCTTAGTCTGTCGCATTCAACCTATGAAGCTGCCATTAAATTAACGCCTGACTTACACCTCTACAACGTGGGTGACGCACAACACAGTAGGAGTGTACTCCCTCTACATGATGTGTGCTGGTACCAGAGGGGCGGCAACTGCTTGCATTCTCCTCTTACCTTGTCCCAAGATGACGGGCCAATCCCTTTGACGTATGTATTCCGTGGACCAACCTGCGCATCAGCAATTACAACTAAAATTAGCCTCACCGTTCGTGCGTTGTGTGGCGATCCAATTCCAGCAGGCTGGACGGGAAGGCCATAAGGCAGCATACGTTTACTGCCTCCGTTCGTCCAGAGAAAAAGCAGAATACAACCGACAAAAAAATGTTCCCCGCATAGCTACTGGCGTGTTCGCTGCCACGATGCTTACCGGCCTATTAAATTCGCCCTCCTGCATACCAGCCATCAACGCCTTGCCGATTGCATCCTGAGATCACACAATACTCCACAAAATATGGTCAAGGGCTGTGTGAAAAGAACTTAGCACAAACAAAACACACTCCTCGAGCTACCAGATTTTCTCCAACCGCAATTAGCTCGCTTGTGCATGCATATTGGTGGCACAACCGTCAAAGGCAACGGTGCACGGAAACTGCACAAGGCAAGCACGGGAGGGGAGCACAGACTAAAATGCCTTTTTTGTCAATTCAATTCATCTGCCTCAAATAATTTGATGGAGAAGGCATGCTTTCCAGGAGTCGTGAGCACGGAAGCCAGATTAGCAATCTACTGCGCTAACTTCTAGCTGAAAACGCAGCACCACAGCACAACCGCATGCAAATGATGCAAACCAGCGAAGCCGCATATTGGTTTGTAATCGTTTTTGTGTAGACTGAAGCTTAAGCGAGGGTGGCAGACAAATGCTTGAGCTAGAGGTGAGATGCGCGACGAGATGCTCACAGCGTTTTCCTCTGGGTCCTGGGTATCTTGGTCGTCAGTCGTCTGCAGCATCACACAACGAAGCCATGCAGGACCTAACATGTCAATAGATTGGAGGCAATTAAAACAGCGTGAACAGTGCCGTGCAGGGGTGCAGAGTTGGCAGGAGCTCCAATTCAGAAAAACTTGTCACAGCCTACTTTCCTGTCGCCCTTCTGCTGGTGTCTATCTATGATTTTCAGGACAATGTCCTTCACTTTCTTCCCGAGGCTCGTTTTACGTTCAGGTGCACGCTGAGCGGACACAAAGCCGGTTTAAACAGAATCAGAAATGAGTGTGGCACAGTTGCTTTGCATTGCAGGCCAACTTGAAGAACACTTTCAGGCCATCAGCCTTCAGACGAATATGGCTATTCCTCGCCTGCAGGTTCAAAATGCGCATACAAAACAAACTGCAAAATCGTGACATACCCTATAGCCACACATTCATTGTGGGCAGTCTCGCACAGCTTGTAAAGAAGTCATGCGCTTCCAAGCAACCACCCATTCGGTTCTCATGCACAGAAACATTGCCCACGAAATTCGCCTAGACTTCTAACCAAAGTCGCTTGCATAAATGTGCAAAGGGAGGTAAGGAACTCGGTGCGTTTAGACGATTCCAAGCTACTTATTCTGTGGAGATCACTATGCGACGATTTGTGAATGCATTAAACCATAGTACAGCATCATTACCAATCGGCTGCCGCGCAGACAAAGTATCAAAAAGCATAGTCTGTTACCGGCCAATTGTTTTCAAGCAATCGAAGGAAAGTGGAAATTCGTCTAGAGTATAATGCGATACCGCAGCTGCCGAGGCCAGTCCCGGATATTCTGCAAGCACACAGGCGGTCGCACAGCCAGCGATATCCCAAAGCAGCTCAAGCATATTAGCGTGGACGGCGCAGTCGCGTCAGTAGA